GAGAACTCAACTGGGAGAAAAAATTTTGCAATGCTATTTCTCCCGCTTCCTCGATGATTGTTTGGAATTGAATCGCTGAGTTTGCAATGGTGGTCTTGCTCCCCTCTCCTCCCCCCCTTCCTCCTCCTTCCTCTTCTCCTCCCCTCCTCCTCCTTCCTCTTCTCCTACCCCCCTCCTCCTCCTTCGTCTCCTCCCCCTCTCTCTCGTCTCCCCCCCCTCCTCCTCGTCTCTTACCCCCCCTCCTCCCTCGTCCTCCCCCTCCTCTCCCCCCCCTTCCTCTCTCTCCACCCCCCCCTCCTCGTCTCCTCTCCTCCTCCCTCGTCTCTCACCCCCTCCCTCCTCCTCTCCCCTCTTCCTCGTCCCCTCCTCCCCCTCTCCTCCCTCGTCTCCTCCCCTTCTCCTCGTCTCTCCCCTCCTCCTCGTCTCCTCACCCCCTCCTCCCTCGTCTCCTCCCCCACTCCTCCCTCGTCTCCTCCTCCTATTCCCCCTCCTTTTTTTTCCCTTTGCACACTTCCCTCTCCCTCCTCTTCTCTTCCTCTTCCTCCTCTTTCTCCCCCTTACACTCCACCCTTTGTCTCGCCTCCTCTTCCTCCTCCTCCTCCTTTTCCCTTTCTTTCCCCACCTTTCACTTCACCTCTCCTTCGTGTTCTACTTTGCTTCCACTTCCTCCTCTTCTCCTTTCTCCATCTACTTTTCCACCTCTTCTTCCTCATCCTTCTTTTTCTCATGCTTCATCTTATCTTTCTTCCCTTTCTATTCTTCCTCCTTCCCCATTTACTCGCTTCCCTTCTTCCATATTCTCTTTCTCCCTCACTTCCACCTCTTCCTCTTTCTCCCTCATTCCTTTCTCTTCTTTCTTCTCCCTCACTCTCCTTTCTTCCTCCTTCCACACTTCCTTCTTCTTCTCATCCTCATATTTCACCTTCTTCTTCTTCTCTGCTTTGCTCTGTTTACACTTAACTTCTTCGTCCTCCTGTACTTCCTATTCATCACGCATTCCTCTTCATCGTCATACTCCAGTTATTCTTTCTCCTTCTTCCTAACCTTTCTTAACCTCCCCTTTCCTCTTCTTCCTCCATCTCTTACTTCCTCTATTTCCCTTCTTCATCCTCTTCCTCTCTCTTCTCCTCCGCTATCTCCTGCTTTCATCTCCTCCTCCTCCTTCTCATTTCCTTCTCCTTCCTTCTCTCTTCCTCCATTCTTACCTGTTTCTGTCTCCCTTCTCCTCTCTATCTTCATTCAGAATGTTATTTTGTTTTCCTTCTTTCCTTTTACATGTCATCTCTCCTTTCTTTGATGTGATTTCAACCCCCTCCCCACCCCCACCCCAGTCCTTCTCTTCCCCTTTCCCAGCTTTTTTGCTTCTCTCGCCTCATATCCCTCTTTCCCCATTTATTACATCCTCTTTTCCTCCTCTTCTTATTTCTCCTTTTCGTTCTTTCTGCTTATGCATCTTCCCTTACCTTCACCCTCTTCTATCTCCTCTTCCTCTTTTCTCTTCCCTGCTTCTTCTTTTCCATATATCTATCGCTTTTCTCCATGATTCTCTTCTTCCTCCTTTCTCCCTTCAGTTCCATGTTATATATATTCTCTCTTCTGTTTCTGCAATCATGCCTTCATATTAACAATAATTTCTGTGAAAATAAAAGAAAAAAGAAGTTCCAGCTTAAAGATAAAAATCGAGTGAGGATTGCATCTCTGCCGGTGTTGCCATCTTGTATATGTGCATGCATGATCAAATGAGATGTATGATAATGCATTCTTTCTTTTTCTGTTTGTCTCTGTCCTTCTATTCATCTGCCTCTGCCTCTATCTCTGTATCTGTCTGTTTGTCTCTGCCTGTTGTTCTGTATGTCTCTCTCTCTCTATCTATCTCTGCCTCCCTGTCTGTCTATCTGAGAGAGAGAGGAGAGAGAGAGAGAGAGAGAGAGAGAGAGAGAGAGAGAGAGAGAGAGAGAGAGAGAGGAGAGAGAGAGAGAGAGAGAGGAGAGAGAGAGAGAGAGAAGAGAGAGAGAGAGAGAGAGATGAGGAGATACAGCTAATGTTGTTAAGACATCTCGTGTATCTCCTCACGCCTTTGTGTGTGTGTATTCTGAAGTGAGACTATTCATGCAAAAATGACTTTGGGTAAAAGCATGTGAATAGACCGAGTCTGCTCGCTCTGTGTATATTTATGTGCATATTTACGTCAGCGAAAGTGGATGCTCCTATGTACGTGTGTGTGTTTATGTCTGAATGTGTGTGTGTGTGTGTGTGTGTGTGTGGTGTGTGTGTGTGTGTGTGTGTGTGTGTGGTGCGGTGAAATAATGTCCTGCCACAAGAGTTCCTCATTAAACGCAGCAAAAAACGAAATGGATGGCGTCGCGTTTTTATTCCGTTTTGGGCACGGGAGCGCATCATTCTGTTTGTGTGTGTGCGAGAGAGAGAGAAAGATACAGACAGACAGAGATAAATAGACAGAGAGAGAGACAGAGACAGACAGAGAGAGAGAGAGAGAGAGAGAGAGAGAGAGAGAGAGAGAGAGAGAGAGAGAGAGAGAGAGAGAGAGAGAGAGGAGAGAGAGAGAGAGAGAGAGAGAGAGAGAAAGTTTTCAGGAGTTGCCATAATGTGATTGATTCTATAAGATAAAAAAAAAAAAATGTCATGCGCACTTACAACTGAAATAATATGATTTCATTTAATCATAAAAATAAAAGTTACATTACAAGGATAATCCTCGTAACATTCTACTGAAGGCAACACCACATTTTTTTCTTTCTTCATACCTATGCTGGTTTAGATATGAGATATTCGTTTTATTTCGGGAATTTACAGAATTTCTTATGGTATTTGAGTTTATTCAGTGTTTGTTTTAGTTGTATGTTCCACAACTCACGGTTCCCTTGCATTATCTAAGGACAAATTGACTACATATATCAACAGAATAATACACGAAATTTAGTAAAATGGGAAAACTTAATTTAGAAAAAAAGAGAGAGAAACAAATAAAGAAAGTAAGTGAATCTGTTTCCTTGGAATGTTGCACACCGGTTGTTGGTGGTCTGCCTATTCATTTTTATTTTTTTAAATATTTGTTGTTGTTGTTGTTGTTCTATGTTGTATGTTATAAAACAGAGCCATCAAGTTCTGTATCAAAACGAGGCTGATATGATAAACACATTTTTTTTTACAGAAATAAAGACTGCAAATCTACTCTGTTCATTGCTGAAAACGGCTACGGACTTTTACCTATTTCATTCACAGTATTTCTTCCTCTTCTTTTATGCATGAACTTACGTGGTTGTCTTCCTCTTGACATGTGTACGCACGTGTACTCACATTTTCTGGCTGAGGGGCGCCTTTGTATGACTGTTTTTCTTTTTTCCAGTGTGTGTGCGTCTATATGTGTGTACATTATTTATCTGTGTGTTTGTGTATGCGTTTGTGTGTGTGTATGCGTTTGTGTGTGTGTATGCGTTTGTGTGTGTGTGTGCGTTTGTGTGTGTATATGCGTTTGTGTGTATTTGTGTATGCGTTTGTGTGTGTGTGTGTGTGATAATAGAAATGATAATAAAGATAATAATAAATACTTTATTAAGTAAAGTTATATTTACAGATGTAAAATTGTTTACAAAGTAGGCTCTTAAGTGTCTAATGCAGTAGGGTATAGTGAACATGTAACATCTGGAAGTATGACACTTTGGTTTACATAACTTACTGTTTACATCCTCGCGGAGCTGTTTTCTTGTGATCCAAGTCAGGCAGCAGGTTCCGATGTCTCGCGGATGTAAAGATATGGACGACATTTTCTGCAAAGAAGAATTTTCTCTTGCCGTCTCAGGAGGGGGTCTATAGTTGATTCAGCGCATCCGTGTATGAGGTGTAGTTTGGCCCGAGTATGATGCGTAATGCTCTTTTTTGAAGCCTTTAATTTCATTTTTTCAGGGTTGGAAATGGACGAATGCTAGGTGGGTGCTGCATATTCACAAATGGGTCGAGCGAAAGTTGTCTTCTCGGGATGCACCGAAGGATTTTAATTCAATTAGCGTGAAAAAAAAACTTTCTTTCGTACTTTGATATAATTTTTTATCGTTATTATTGCCGAACCACTTTAAGTCATCATTGATCACTTCGAAAAAAAAAATCACATCTGTGGCGCGTGCTAAAAGCTCGTTATCTATTTTCAGAGTGCTATCACGGCTAAATTGCAAATTTTTAATATCGTTTCTGCGCATTTCTTCGTGTTGACTAGCATTTCGTTTGAGGATGCCCACTCTGACTCTTGGTTGAGGGCGTCTTATAACAAAACGTTTCATTGCTCTAGTTTGAGTGCGAATGCGTGTCATGTCGCCCACATACTTGTAGAGCTTCGCGTGCGGAATGTTATCCTCATTTGCCATTATCAGGAACAACAATCGGCCGAGCGCTGTTCCTTGACTAACACTGCAGTGACGCTTAATCTCGTCGGATGTTTTGTTGTTTGCACGAGTCATCTGGGAGTTGAGGTTGGTAAAGGAGGAGATCCACTTGCCCAGCCCTCGTGAAATCCCAGGAAAATCATTTCTTAATCTTAATTTCATCGATGAGAAATGCTTTCCGCAGGTCGATGGTGGCGGTGGTCACCTCCAGTCACTTGTCTACCTTTGAAGTGACATAATTGATCAGGTCAACCAAGTAGTGGACAGTGGAGCTTCCTTTGATATTTCCGTATTGGCGATGATTATTCTCTCGAGCATTTTGCGTGGAATTGGAGTTAGCGATATAGGCCTATGATCGAGAGAATTAGGTGAATTTGCTTTCGGAATTGGAACTGTGACAACACGCTTCCGTAGGTCAGATACCAGTCAATGATGGAGCTATTAAAGATCTCGTTCAGAGGGATGGCAAGCACGGGAGCGAATTCCTGCAGTAATCTTAGCGGGTTGTCATCAGAGCCAAATTTACTTTTTGATTTCGCGAAGGAAGCGAAGGTAAGCTGACAGCTCTGTTGTTTGAAGTGGTGGGAGTAGTTTGCTGATGTT